CAGACGCGGCCTGGGGTTCTCGGTAAATCTCAATTCCCAACAGGAAATCTCTTTGTTGTCAGGCCAGTAAAACTGACCACTTCCCGTTTTTGGAAAATTAATCACTTTCCATTTTGGGGGGTCTCCCTCGTTCGTGAAGGAAGGTCAGAGGAGAGCTATCCTCCTGGACTCTTTCTCTCTCACATTGATATCTCATACCAATCCCTTTAGTGGGCGTTAATAACTTCTCCGTCCTTCTCATCCATTCAACTCCGTCTATCACCATTCCTACCACTCGACAAATGACATCCCGGCCGTGCGGTGTGGCTAAGTTGGCCTCCTTAAAATTACAATCCAGAATTTTTGTTTACAAAATTCTCTTTTTTCCCATCGGCCAAAATTTTTACGAATCCCATATTGCCACTTAAAATCTATCATATCTTTTGGTGACTCAGAATCCACTTAGCCAGCACTCTTTACCATTCCCATCAATCACTGTCAAAGTTTGCCATCTGGTCCCTTCGTGAAGTTAGCTTATGCTGGAACGCTTGGCTTCTTGAGAAATTAAATTGTTTATCTTACCAAAGCACAATTCTTCCACGCTATCTTTTCTCCTGCCCAAAATTTTACAATCGCCATATTGCTACTCCAAGTCTCGGCGTCTGAAAGCGACACCTTGGTAAAGTAAATAATAACGGTCCAATCTCTCTCGGTAAGGCACTTTTACAATATTAATCAATTTCATAAAATCTCACATATGACTTTTTCTACGGGTTTACTGTCTTTTGTGAAAAGTATCTTTTCCGTAAATAAAATCAAATCTTTTTAACATCGAACGGTATATCGTTCGGGATAACTTCTTTCCGCCTTCAGTATTTCCTGTTTTAATTTCTATGGTTAATTAGTTAGCCAATTACCATAGCTAAATAGTGTCACATTTCACACAAAATCTTTTTTTCCTTTTTGTCGATAAATATATATATATATATATATATATATATATATATATATATATATATATAAATTTAAAATTCCAAGCACCCTCGTTTGGATACATGCATAGTCGTACCAACATAACAAATTTAGTCCGATGAAATCCTAAAGGGTCAAACGTTTCACACAAAATCTTTTTTCCACTTTATCAATATATATATATATATGTGTGTGTGTGTGTGTGTGTGTGTGTGTGTGTGTGTGTGCAGGTATGTAGTAAAATAGGAAGTAACACGTTACGTAAATAATCCGGAGTTCTTTAGTATTTTTGTTTTTATTTTTAAAAAACAGTGCTCCATACAGAAGTAGAGCTTAGATTATAATTATTTTAAAAAAAAATGTTTCCTTCGCTACATAAGAGTTCTCATGTTTCAAAAACGAGAGCCGATACCCTCAATATAATTATTAAAATTAAATTGAATTAAAGTAACAAACCCTGTTTCATCCTCAAGCGAAAATTTAGGAATAAGATTATTTAGATTATTAATTGACGTGCCTAACCTCTCGGCCACAAAGAATCGTTCGGTTGGCAATTTTGAATTTACTGCTTATAAACTTCAATCTTCCATGAATCTCGTACATTTCATAGAAAATATTCGTCTTTTTGTGGCCGAGAGGTTAGAAACGTCAGCGTAAAATGACGGTTCCGTATAGGATGCAGGGTTCGAATCCATCAAAGGACGAATATTTTCTATGAAAATTTCTCGGACATTCAGGCCGGTAAATGTTATTATAATACTGTTTATTATAAACAGAGCATTTACTTAAATACTTGTATCTGCTATGGAAAAAAGAACGTTAAATATAAAAATGTCTTTAATATATATATATATATATATATATATATATATATATATATATATATATGATGTCAGGTTTTATTATCCAAATCAATGCTTTCCAATATATATTGATATTGGTCAACCAATGTTAGTAAAATTTTCTGGATATGCTAAAACGTAATAAATAAACAAATAAATAAAAAGCAGATAAATAAAATATATGAGAACATTTTTAAAGCGAACATTTGATAAAACGAAGCGTGATTTTATTTATTTTTTTAATTTATTTATTTTTTTTACTGTGACTGAAAATAGGAAAAAATGTTGAAAATGACACAAAACAATTCAGAAGCTAAAGACATTATCAAAATAAATAAACAAAACCTTTAATAAAAATTAAAAAAAAAGAAACATCCAAAAATTGGAAGTACAAATGGCGCCACCTGTCGGGTTAGATCGGAACTAGACCAAGCCAGACATCGCAGCGAAGAAAGACATGAGTGGGGGTGAATTAAGAATGGGGTTCGTGTAGAAAAAGCGATATTTGAAAACAATTACAGAAATTTATCTGTCTTCAAAAAAAGAAAGTAGAAAATGGAAGTAACAGACGATAAGAAATAGTCGTTTGTGGCTGAAAAACGAGGCGTTGTTATATATTTGGTGGGTGGCTGGCTGAAGATGGTGGCCATTAATATTAATTTTGCACTGGGACAAAATGGCAGTTGCATCCATAGACAACATGTCTA